CCTCTTTCTTTGTACCGTAATCAAACTGTTTTAGTGTCATGGTTTATGCAAACATTTTCTCTCCTTATGTTTACTCTGCTTGTATTTACCTTCACTTTTCCCCACTGAGCCAGCTAGTCTATTGCCAAGATTTTTTCCCCTTCCATTTTTAAACAAGATATCTATCTGTGGCCTTTAGAAACCTCTAATGATTAAAAAAAAAAAAAAAAATTGTTAGAGGAATTGTGTATCCCCTCTCCATCCCTTTGATATTTCTGATCTGGAAGTTGTCTGCTAGGACTTGCAAATGGACCTGTTGGTGTCAGGCAAACCTCAGTAATAGTTTGACAAAGGTTTATTTTTCTTCTTTTAACCTTTGAATTTAAGAGTGGTTGAACTTTGAGTAGTTCTTCACTGAGCTGCAAATATTTTGACAATTTTCTGGTATCATAGTCAGTAGAAATTACAGCATCTGAATCTGTAATCAATGAAAAGTGCTGAAAACACACAACAAAGTGTGCAAAAGTCAACAGATGCAGAATGCAGATGGAAGGCAACTGGCACTTTGCCTAACACCTTGTACCTATAATCTAGAAGCTATTTTGTCTTTATTTCTTCTTTTTTTCTTAACAAGATGGTTTTTTCACTTGTAAATCATATCCAACCAAATGGGCCACTAGATTTCTGTCAGGTGACTGCTAGTTTTTCTTGCTTGTTTTTTTCCCCTCATATGCTTTTAATTCTTTTAGAAAACAGACTCATAAGGACACAGGTTATGGATTGGCTAAGAGCTTGGGTTTTGCTAAATCTACAGTGCAGGGAGGTTTAATGGCCACTGGGGGATGGATGGGGTTAGGACTCCTGTGTTTGAGCTTCATTGCTTCCAAAGGGGAGGATGGTAGTCTCTCCATTGTTAGGCCTTTCTGACAGGCGCTATATTGCTATCACACACACCAAGATTAATTCAAATTCTGGATCCTAACTTTACATTTCAGGCTTATCTCTAGATTTTTAGCACTTGCTTTCAGAAAACTGTTTTACTTTAACTAAAAAGAAACATAGTTTTAGACACCTTGCCTCAGTTCAGATGAGTGCGGCAGTGTGGTATGGGGCACCACAAACACGTCTGCGGCACCACATATCATACATTTAAATGTTCTCTGTGCTGCAAGGGAGTGCTGCTCATGTGTGAGCTGCTCCATTTTTTCTTTCTGTGGGTTTTTTTGCCTCCTGGATATCCAGGAGTCAAAAAAAAAAACCATGGGGAAAAAAAAGTGGAGCAAAACACACATTGGCAGTGCACAGTGGTCAGAAGCAGAAATGGTCCTCCCAGAGCTGTGCTGCGGCGGCTGGCCAGGCTCTGTGCGGCAGAATCGCTGCTGCTGCTGAAGCCCTGGGAGGCCCCCAGAACCCCAGGTAAGGCTGCTGGGGCCAGCCCAGCACTGGCCCCAGTTTCTCCTACCCTTCCCCTGGGGTAACTTGCTTTGTGCCAAAGCACATGTTGCACAGTCATTTCCCTAGGACAAGTAGTAGTGGCGCAAGGTGCATTACTGTTACTTGTCCTCACAGAACCAAACATCCACACTCATCTGGGAGCACCCCTTCATTTCTATCAGTGAAAGGAATGTAGCACGTTTTGGAAGCTAAGCATATAAAATAAGATAACTTTTAAAAGTCAACACTATATGAAGCTCTAACTCATTAAATGTGGGAGACACTTTAAAAACATCTAAAAGATTCTAAATTCAGAATTTTGGATTCAGAATTCAATATTTTATAGCAGTACTAATTCAGTCTTCTTTTTCTAAGGAGTGGTACTCAGTAAATTATTAAATATACCAGATTCCCTAGCTCTGATCTGATTCTATTGTCTTTATTCTGATTGTTCTAGGGGATCATCTACACATATAGGGGATTACCTACATAGATGTTTGGCCTATGAATTTAGAGAGATTTCTAGAAGAAATTAGAAATAGAGTTAATAATAAAAAAAACTTATCAGATCCTATTTCCAATTGCATTGTCAATTAAAACAAACAGCCAGTTCTATTTTTGCCTTCAAATGGGTGGAGAAGGATCTTAAGCGTTGAATGTTACCGACAGAACTAGTCAGTGAAAGTGCCATCTAATTAGTCCTTCGTCATTGTTGCAATGTATTGCCACTCTATACTGCAATTTAGACACCATTTTGACCTTTAAGTGGTTTTGGAATACTTGATCCTTTGTATCTTTAAGATTTGAAATCAATGGGTTCGCCATTGACTATAAGGGGAGCAAAGCTTTGCTCATGCCAATGCTTTTGCAAACATCACCCTTTGAACAGAACTGATGGTGTTTTATTTCATCAGTGAAACTGAGAGTATCGGAACAGACTGGGAAAGCGAAAGCAAAGCATTTTATTACCAACTACAGGGCAAAAGTGGCTGGGTGTTAATTAGAATCTCCAAAGGGGCATATTGATTAGATCAAAAGGTTCTATATGACAAAAAATATATCGCATAATATTTGCAGAAAATTAGTAGAAGAGCACCAAAATAAAGAGTTGATTATGATGTTACCTGAGATTTGCAGGTGCCTTCAAACCTCCAAACTTATAAATTTAAGTGTTATGCTGCTTGTTCCACAATGTCACCTTCCTTCCAATGTCCATTAAAAAAGAGCACTAAACTCTTGTGATGTAAGAACACTCCTACGTATATTTTGAAGTAGAAAAACTGATATCATTAGCGACTACAATTCAGACTATGTAAGAGCCTGGATTTATGTAAAAACGAGGTTTTAAAATCTCACAGTCTTTCTAGTAAGAAACAAATTACATTGTACTTGAAGCTGTGCAAATAATACTTTTAGTTTTGGTGGCCAAACTGAATGATGAGGGGTGCATCTACATTGGATGTTTACTGCAGAGTTGCCTAATTAGCTCTGCAGTAAATGTCTAAGCCTCTACACATGCAGTGCTATTAGGATAGAGTAAACTAATTATAGGTTAATTAGAACTTGTATTAATTACAAATACTATACTATAAATACAAGTACTCTCCTGCAGCAGTGTTTTTGACTCGGCAGCGAAACACGTGCTGATGCTGACAGGGCTAGGTGGGGCACAACAGTGCTTCAGTATGGGGGGCTGCCAGCCAGCTGGCTCTTCACTGAAGCATCCTCGTGCCCTAGACAGCCTCTCTGCAGCACATTGAGCTGGGTTGGAGCAGCCGCGGGCTGGCAGGTTGGCCCCCCAGATTCCTGCCAGCTGGGGCTATTCTGACCCACTTGAGTATGTTGTAGTTCCAGGAGTGTGTTCTAATGTAGCACCTGGGAGCAATAAACTGTTAATATCATGTGCAGACATGCACAAGGATGATGATAAAAGAACTGTTTGAAATTGACTCAAACCAGGAATTTTCTGAATTTTTAGAAAAATGATACATGAATTTGGGGTCCAATATGAAGTTTTGTTCATCTGGAAGTCCATTATTTTATGTGTTGGAATTTTTAATAAAAGCCAGGAACTAAATTTAGAGGGGACTGAGTTGTTATTCATAAAAATCAAGGTGGCAGAGGTGGTATCCCACCCTTAGCTCAGTGGTTAGACCACTGAGATGAAACATTTGAGACCTGCACTCAAATCCCTTTCTTGAAATAAGATATTATTCCTTTGAGTCTTCTAGAATATCTTGATTGGACTTTTTCTTCTCTTCTGTTGGGGCTGTTCCATTACATGTAAAACAGTCACTGGAGCAGGGGCTGGGATGTGAATGTCCCACATCTCTGCAGAGTGTTCTAGCAACTGTAGAACAACCGTAGAGTAATTTTGTCTTTCTTCTTGGTCTCAATAAATATTTAAGTATTTTATGCAAAATAGGACAGCTTCTGAGGGGCAGACGCACCTAAGAATATCTATAGCCTAGTGGTTGGGGCACTCTCCCTAAAAGTTTAAATTATTATTTTGACTCAAGTGTAGGCAAAGGATTTGAATTTGTCTCCCATGTCTTGTGTGATTGTCCTAAACACTGAGCTTACAAGTGAGATATCCTATCAACACCTCCTCACTGGCTGTGGGAGTGACATGCAAATTTTATGTGAACTTAGCCTGTAAAAAAAACCATTCATTTTCAACACTTCCAAGATTTGTACTTTGTTATTGTCCAAAACTATTTCCCAAATTTAACTAAAATTTGTGAATAGTTTGCAACAGATCAAAACTCTATTTTTCAGTGAAAAAAGTGTATGCCAGAACCCCCCACAACCAAGCATTCGGTCCTATTTGTAACTTTTCTGAGATTTTCTACCCTTGGTTGGGCACAGAAATCCCAATGAAAGCCTCTTTGTCACTCACCATATTTAGTCTTTACAAACATTCCTTGGTATATTTTTCTTTTCATCTCCATATTCTGATAGAAGTAAATCACAGAGGGCTCCCTTCTTTTGGGCAGTGGGTCCAATAGAGAACCCGTTCCTGTTTATAATCCCATCTTTCCTAAAGAGAATTAGGTGGTCTTCCTTATTTGTTCTTTTTTTTTTTAGTTCCTCCACTTATACTCGTTTAAAAAGATAAACTAAATTGAACAAAAAGAAGCTTCAGACCATTTCTGACTCACCAGGATAGCTGATTGACAGACATACACCTCTAAAAATGGACTCAGTCCTATTATAACAATTTTCAATCAGTGGACTGTGGGTGTCAGGGGACAAAACCATATGTTCATTAATGCTTTCCCAAACCCATATTGTCAGTAGCATTATCTTTGGCTTTTTTTTTTTTTTTGCCTTCAAATTTGTTGTTTGTAGTAGGATTTTTTTTGTATAAGGATGGTTATTATTTACTAACTGTACTACACAGTTCTTAAATGCCCACCATTGTGAATCTATTAGGTACATACTGTACAAGGGACATAGTTTAATTATCCTCATTTTATTTTTAGAGTTATTTCTGAGCAGGTTCAAATGTTGCTTTGGGATTTTAATGAGGGGAATGACCTGACTCAGACTCCCTCACTGGTCACATTCTCGAAGCAATAATAATACACAATTTCTTCTGTTTTAATATGTTGCATAGTAGCTGTACTTTAGCAGTTCTATTATAAAGCCATTTTCCTTTACAGAGAAAGGTACTTATTGGTTAATGCCATCTAACAAATCTTTTAATTTTCATTCACAGTGGTACTTAACATGTGGGCTAGAAAGATTTTTCCCCCTTATTAGTTTAGGACATCAAATTACTCATGAACTTATGAGGCACTAGTCAACTTACTGCATACCACCCACATACTATGCATTTGTTTGCAATATATATATATATTTCTTTTTTTCATATTTTGACTGTTTTTTTCTTTTAGTTACTATGGAAATGAACATTTGATTGGCACATGACTGACATCTTCAATGGCAGAATCAAGTCTATTTGTCTCATGTTTTGAAATCCAGCACACACACTAATTATCACGTCTCTCATCTGCAAATGCAGTCATTCTCAATAAAATATGTTATACATTCTCACGTCTCAGCAAGGCAGAGAAAACTCTACAGTTTTTGAATGACTATCCTTAGTTGCTGGCTTTGCGATCTTACTCATTTTGCAATTTTTAGACTAGGAAAGAGAGAACCAGGTGCTTGAGATCCTGAAATAGGAGGGAATTCATCATCTGTGATGTACCTATAGGGTTTGCCTGTGGGGGTCATGCACAGGCAGCAGAAGAACAAAATATTGTTCCACTCTCAGTGCAAGCTAGAGGAAATATTCCTTCCTGATCTCTAATCTGGAACTCATTTTGACCCTGCTTAATAGTGGTATATCAGAGCACTAGTACTCTATGCACAGTTGCCCATCTCCAACTGTTCATACAGTGGTGGAAACAGAATACATCTACCTAGTGGGACAAAAGGACTAAATGCTTCCTGACTATTATAATCAATGTCTTACTATAAAACTGGAAGTGTTATGAGCATGTTGAATACAATACAGATAAACCAGTTCTTCTAAGATGCATTCAGGGAAGAGATGAACAGAATGAATCCAAGTTTAGAAGGGATGGCGATGTCACTTTTTTCCACATATAATTGCTTAAATTATCAAGTCACTGTCCAACCTTCTTCTTAGTAAACCATACGAGTTAAACTACTTAAGCCTCACATGTAAGGCTTGTTTTCAGCTACTAGAACTTTCTTGTCGCCCTTTGAACTCCCTCCTGTATTTTTACATCTTCCACGAAGTGTGGGCACCAGACAATGTTCTCATATTGGTCTTGCTAGTACAGCAGTGGGCAATTACTTCAGCTGGAGGGCTGTTTAATGAGTTTTGGTGAGCTGTTGAAGGCTGCAAGGGTAGCCCCATCTCCTGATAGGTGCCCTAGCCCCTGGTTGCCAGCTTAGGAAACTCCTTGTGAGAGGGGTGCCATCTTGGAACTGGGAAAAAAAAACAAATCATATATTAACAATCAAACAACTACTATAACATATTTTAATTTTATTCCAACAAATATTTTTGTCCTGATTTACATATGTTTGCATAGTGTATATAGAGGTGATTGCATAATAGCTCAAAATAAAATCGTACTCTTGTATATTGTGTGTGGGCAGGTGTGTGGGATGTGTATGGCGGAGTGTGTGGGGTGTGGCTGTGTGGTGGGCTGAGTGTAGAATTTGTGGGGGGGCATGGGGGAGGATGTGTGGGGGTGGGATGTATGGGGTGAGGGTGGATGTAGAGTTTGTGGCAGGTTGTGGGTGGGTGTGTGGACAAACTATGGGGATGTGTGGGCAGGGTGTGGGGGAAGATGTGAGTGTGGGTTTTGTGGTGGGGATGCATGTGGGGGAGGGTGTCAGGAAGTATGGAGGGTGTATGTGTGTGTGTGTGGTGGGGGGGGGGGGGGGCTGGTGGTATGCAAGTCCTGGGAGCTGCACATGAGCCACAGGGAGCCCTGTATAATGGAACCAGGCCAACCCGGGCTCTGGGCTCATACTGCCCCTCTGGGTCTGGGACCAGCACTCTGGGTTTCACACTTCATCTGGCCCTGGCCCCATGCTCTGGAATCCCACCCAGTTGTAGTTTCTCCCTGCCCACCACCACTTCCCTACCTGCTGCCCAGAGTGTTGCAGCAGGGACATGAGGAGGAGTCACTGGAGGCCAGGGGAGCTGAGCAGTTCCGTGGGTGGCTGCAGCAGTAGCAGCCCTGCCTGGAAGCTGTGCACTGGCTGGGGCCCTCCTGTGTAAGAGGGTGGGGGTGCAGCATGCTGCCCCAGCGAGAGTGGGTGAGGTTCAGCCCCATGTGGAGCACAGCAGTGGTGGTCATGGGCTGGGCCAGATACAATTAATTGGTGGGCATCTGTCCATGGGCTGGATGAAATCTCCTGGTGCACCAGATGAGGCCTACAGGCCATATTTTGTCCGCCCTTAAACTAGTAACACAAACAAAATTATTTCACTACCTTTACTTTATAGGATCTTTTTAATTACATCTAAAGGTCAAATTAGCCCTCTTCTGGTAGAGCGTTGCACTGGAAGTTCATACTGAGAGGAAGACCCGTGGTTGATCTTTGACTTCTTCTGCCTAAGAAGCTGCTCCTTCCTAACTCTCCCATCCTGTACATGGAAGTGGTGTTCTTTATTTCTAGATGTTGTACCACAATTTTGGCTATATTATAATATGTTTTATAGGAATGGAACTATTGAACCAGGTAGTTCAAGTCAAATCTGTCCTACTCATTAATTACTATCTCAGTCTTTGAGTCATCTGCAAATTTTAACTTTTAAGTATTTTAGATCATCATCTAGATCACTGATATAAATATTAAATAGTATTGGAGTTTGCGGACCCTGTTAAAATGTCTCTTTTAATTGATATCTCCTTATTAATAGCACTTCAAAATCTGTCAGTGAGCTAGTTTTAATCCATCTCGTGTCTGTTCTGGTAATTACATATAATGCAAGTTTTCCCCCGCCCCTTTATTTAAATCAAGAGTTCGTGCAGTACTAAGTCAAATGCCTTGAAGAAATTCAAGGATACTATAACAAACCATAGCCTTTATTAACCAGACTTATAATTTTGTCAAGAAAAAGACACTACATGTGTTTGATGAGATCTGCCTTCCACATAACCAGGATGACTGGCATTGCATCTTTAGCCTTTACCATATTTACTTTAAAACCACACACAGAATCAGCCCTCCAAAATTGAGGAGCAAATCATAAGCAGAGAAACTGAATTTTCTTCACTGAAGTAGATGCAGGGAGATGCTGTGCTCCAGTGGAAGCCAAAATGGCTGCCTCTTCTCTCTTGCCCTAGTAAGTGGAAAGGGTTGAGTCACAAGTTAACCCTCTCACAACCTCTAAGGAATCTGCAGTAGCTATTAGCTGAACATTGTAACTTATGCCTGATGCAGCAACTGAGCTAGCTTAGGGCAAGCAAACTGCTGCATAAAGTCTGTATTATCTTGACGAGGTGTGTGGTATGGAAGTAGCACTTTATTTTTTATAATAAGGAAGTAACAGCATTGCTACTGCCCTTGTAAAGGTCTGGGTCCTAGCTTGTTGCTGTCCTTCCACACCAGGAAGTTCCTACTGCCTCACCTAGACTCTCTCCTGGGGTGCCACATTGCACTTGGGCATATCCAGAAGGGCGCACATATGTGTAGGGTTCCATTTTTGCTGTGGCACAAATAGCAGTGGCACATATTTGTGCCATTGCTTTGTGCCTCAGGCACACCCCTGCATGTGCGCACCGGCACACACCAGATTTTTCTGGGTGGGGTAGGGGAGGCTGGGGCCAGTACTTGTGTTGACCCCAGCAGTCTTACCTGGGGTCCTGGGGGCCTCCCAGGGGAATAGCAGTGCTGATCTGGCCACGCAGAGCCTGACTGGCAGCCACAGCATTGCTATGGCTGGCCAGCTTCCATTTTTGATGGCACATAACTGCTGCCACATGTGCCAAACTGCTGTTTTCTACAGTGTTTGGGGTTTTTTTGTTTTGTTTTGATACTGGGATCTCCAGTATCAATGCTGGCACTATACTGCAAATTAGCAGTGCAGCGAATGGGTGCATGTGCACCACATGCAGTTTTGCAGCTCCTCAAAGAGCTTTGAGGTGGTGCAAACCATACATGCATGCTCATCTGGATGTGCTGTGTATGTTTCTAGGAGGCATTACTCTAGGGCACAAAGTCAGCCATGACTCTGGAAAATCTTTTCCCCCCTATATTCTGCCCTCCAAAAATAACATGCTTGTCTTATTTAGGATGTGTGGTATGTGAGAAAATATGGTAATTCTTTTTTGATAGATTTTTTTTGATCAATCATGACAGTGTTTTCTCTCAGACTGCCATGAGATTAACAGGTCAATAGTTCCCTAGGACATACTTTTTACATCCCTGACATGTAGAGAAGCAATTAAGTTAACAGAAGTCTTCTCAACTTAAGTCAGAAGCTGCTAGCATTTTTGGACTGTGTGCTTTTGGGACAAACTTGCTTTGTTAATTGTCCTTGGGTCAAGGACTGCAAAGCTTCAAGACTACTGAGCTGCTTGATTTAGGGCAGCTGGTTCTCTAGGCTATGGGAATTGGTCAGGGGCTAGAAGCTCGAGAGTCCATCACCCTAGGGCAGTATTCATGGTAACATTGCCCTGAAATTATGGACCCTGGAAGCCCACCCCATGACTTCCTGGGTCCATGTCAGGGTGCCTTGAAGCCCTGCAAATTCTAGTTAGAGATAATGCTCTCAAGACTTCTGGGATCCCTGGATAGAACTGGTACTCCTAGTACTTTTTAGGGATCCTGGAAGTCCTCAACTCTGATGTAGTCAACATTGGATGCTTATGCCAGAGCTACAGACTTTGGGAGCCAGGGAAACTGTAAAAAGATCAAATCAGGTTCTGTCTGATCTCCCTCAAGGATTCACTGAAAGGTCATTGAAACAGACATTTCTGAAAAATGTTTGGAAAATGCCAATTCATTGAAACCCAACAGACCTGTTTTGTTGGAAAATTCCTGACCACCTCTAGTTAAGAGAGCAATGTTAGAATGTATATAAAGCAGAATAAATGAAGGATTATAAAACTAGTCTGGACTAAGCACTAGCAAGTGTAAAGTAGAGAACAGACTTACAGTGTTGGAAAGCTGACTTAGATACTTTAATAGGTCTTTTTCAGCTATTATCTGTGATTCTGTCTTTACAGTTAGCTTCCAAGTAGCTATAAGATCTGCTTAACATTTATGTTTCATTTTTAGACTTTCTTAATACCAAGTTGCCAGCAGTCTTCACTTTGGTGAATAATATACTTGATTCAATTTTACTCACTCACTGTGATGTAAGTGTCTGATAAAATATCATCTTTCCTTGCTACTGTTTGACATTTTGGTTTTACTAAGCTCACTTCACAAGTAAAAAGTAATTCAAAGAAGAGAGATTTTCTGAAGAGGAAGTCACTCATATGGCATTGACAAAGCTACCCATTTATGCATCACAGATTCACTAAAGAAAGTAAAGGAGAATACATATTTTAAATTATATAGTATCTGCTACATTATAAAGTGCAATGGCAGCTTTGAAGTATTGCTTTTGTTCTGCCATTGTCCTCATCACTTCATCAGAAGAGTCTAAGAACAATGAAAGGAGAAATCTTGAAAGCTTTGGTCATTCAAATATTCTGTTTTAGAATGAGGAGATGCTATCTCTAGCATCTCCTCAAACCAAAAATCAAACCAAAAATTATAGAGGAACTTATAGGACTTGACTTGATACAGTTATGCAAACCAAAGTGTAAAGTCACAAGCCCCATTTTGGATTATGCAAAGCGGAGCCAGTACTGCATTAATGTCAGTCTTTTAGGATAGAGTATATAAATTAAGGCAAGACATATCTGTATAAAATTAAATTCAATCCTGAAACTTGATGATTTTGCTAGAGTAGATGAGATATAAATTTGCGTGCAAGAAGGGGCAGGTCGCACCTACTTTTGGCTGTGTGCTGCATCCACAGTGAGCTCTCGGAGCTCACGTATGTTTGTGGAAGTCCTGCTAATAAGTCTGCACATGCTGGGAGCTCTATGAGCTCACTGAATGACAGATCACTGAGTGGTCTGCCTTATGTTCTTGCTTTAAAGTAGCTCTGGAGCCTGCTGCTGGTTTGCTCTTCCCCTCCCACTTCTCTTACTCCACACCCCCCGCATCCCCGCCCCAAATCCAGCAGCAGAGGACAGGAGGCCCAGAACAACTGGCTGAAATGCCAGTGACATCTGAGAATCCAGGATCACAGTGAAAGGCTGCTGGCACACCACCCTTTGGCAGCGTGATACATGTATGATGAGTAGAGATCTCCCGAATTTGCACTGGAAGTACATGGAACAGCAACTTCCTTAGTCTTGGAGTTTCCCCTGAGTGCCCCACCACCACTCATTGGCAGAGGAGCACCACACTTGCAGCTTGCCACCAACTCCTGAAACCTCAGCTGTGCTTTTCATCTCCTGGCCATCCAGTGCAGGCAGTGAGCAGTAAGCGATGGGCCCTTCCCACTAATCAGCCATGGGGAGGCACATGGGGGAAACTCCAAGATTAAATAAGCCATCTCATTGCAGACTTGTGACGTAAATTCCAGAGATCCCTAATGATGAGCTTTCTTCACTACATATGTAACATATAGCCAAGGGGGGTATGGCCACACCTGTCACCATAATCTTGAATGTTCCTATGCTTGTCGGGAAAGTTTCTCATAATTCCTTTCAGACAGTGATTGGCTTCTGACCTGAAATATGAGGTTTAAATCCATTAAAAATATTAATGACAATATTCAGTTATAGTTATCCATATAAATTGGGTATTTTTTTAACATTACCAGCCCCTTGCACACAATGCTTCTTGTGTCTTATGAAGGGAGCTTTATGTGCATATTAAATTTGAAGCCTTTCAGTTTTCCTTAATGCCTCCTTCACATGTTATGCAGAATTATAAATACAAGCTCCCTGATTACTTCTCATGTACTTTAATTGTACACTTTACTCATATCCTCACTGTGTTGCCAACTCTCCCAGCTTCAAAGTGAATTTCATGATGTAGTTATAAAAAAGCTCCCTGAGTCATAAGGTTAAGTGAGAATCTCAAATTTAATTAAAAGATGAAGACTTTTCATTAAAATATAAGTTTTTAACTATCTTCTTGAAAATAGAAACATGGAAAAAGTGGACTAAGTTGACCTTAGGAGCTCAAAAGAGGCTGACATCCAAGAGGGCAAATAAAATAACCTCAAAATTATTATTAAAACTTTGTGGGTTTTTTGGCCGGGGGTGGGGAGGCAGGCTTATGATTTTTAAACAACTAGGGTTGGCAATACTGATTATGTACTGTCTAAGGTAAACAGCTACAATCTTTTCATTTTTTCTGCACATCAAGGAAGTAATTTTTGTTGCTTG